ACCTATTAGAGCTGTACCCACTAGCAGCTTGAACCCTGAGGCTCAACCCTTTGAACCACAAGAGCAGGCGCTGCCATACTCACAACCTACTGTAGAGGAAGTCCCCGCAATCCAAGTGGTTCCCGGTATGCAGAATGAGGCAACCACTGCAGGACCCCTCACCTGGGAAACGGTTGCAGTGGAAGCTGAAGCTGCTCCATCAGAACCCATGGAGAGTGGGGACTCAGGAGAACTACATCAAAAAGAAGATAGGCTGCCTGAAGATCCGGACAATGAGGATACATCGCTCATCGCCCCTTGTGATCTGGTAGAATCCTCTGGTGGTGAGCCAGACCTATCTGAGAACTCTGTGGACTCTGCTATAAGTGATCCAGTTGCTGCGGAGGAGCCACTCCAGTCTCTCCCCTGTGAGGAGATTCTTATCATGACCTTGCCGGTAGCTCCTCGTAGATCCCAGCGCCAGCGACGAAGCACTAGGTTCTTTTCCTGGGATCCATTTACGAAGAAGTATTCTCAGGTCATACATGTGTGATACAAGAGGGTTACGAATGATTGTTCAGCTGAAGCATTGTTTAATCATGTATTTGTATTTATCAATTTCAATCCGGGTTACAAAATTTCCTTAAAGGGGGGGAGAGTGTAAAGGCTGGATATTTTGTCCTAGTCTTTGCACAAGTAACCCAATATCCTGCCCTTTACCAGTTATCTGATAGGGTTCTGGGGCTCAAGGCACTGGTGCCATGGTTTCCATAGCAACAATTTTTTAGCCAATCCCCAGGGGCTATGTTGTCACATGACAGGGGCAAGAGGGAGCGTGGGACCCCCAAGCCTGAAATCTTCCTCTTTCTGCCTGCACTGTCGAGGTGACAACAAGCCAGCTTGTTTTTTAGGTAAGAACCTCAGTTTGCTTCGATATTGCAACTGGGTCTTCTGTATTAAATTCCTATGTATAGTTATGTTGTTAGCAGGATAAGTAATTATCTGCGGGTTTTAAATTAATGTATTATTTAATTTGATAAATCACAATTAAAATAATTGTTGGGTCACTGTCATCAATTATTCTTGCTGTGCCAAACTGGCGAAAGGTCACTCATCTGTGACTGTCCAAACGTGCACTCGATGGCAAGAATAAATGACATGTACTCATTGTAATATATTTTCATCTAAAAATTCATTTTAGTAAAGTACTTTGTGTGTTTAGCATTAATTTGCTTATTTGACCTGCCAGTCAAAATTGTCTCTAGCTCATTGCTAAATTCAAAATTCCATTTATTTACAACTTGTTGCTGCTAACAACAGAACTCTTTTGCCATTTTATTCTAAATTTAAAAAGTGGCTGTATCACTGTCCCGGTTTCCAAACCATGTGCTCAGTTAGAGTATCACGGTATCAGCTGGAACCAATTAGTGGCGGTCATGCTCACTGACCAGTGCTGACCTCTCCACTGAGCAGCACACAGCCTGGGCTGTCTTCGGCTCTCCTCGGCATTCTCCGGCTCCCGTCCGGCTCCATTACAAAATGGCTGCACCGGATGTAAACAAAACTAGGGTCCGTCGTCTGCTTCATGGTTATCTTAACATAGCATTGACTACCGGTACCATGCAACTATATCAATCATATTTTAGTATGTTTCCCCACTTGATGTGAAAGTGAAGTCACAGTTTATTCAATAATAATATAATGTATTATATTATATGGCCAATAATATACCTACAAATTGTAGTAATATAAATTATGTAATATCCGTTTATTACATATTGTCAATTTACTTACTACAATTAGGTGTTTATCCTGGGTAGCCCCAAGTGGTGTACCTACTGGGTGTATCGACATTCTGTTGGAGCTAGCCTCATATTGACTAGTATGATCATCCAACAGGCAGTCATACCCCATTTCCCTTAGCCACATGTGTCGTACAGGCCAGGTGTCCTGTCGTGGCTATTGTGTATATCAATCAACCGGTTTTCTGTATCATATATTCCAAATGTGTTGGGTATAGATATTGCCCCACTTTGTGTATATATATGTATTTTTATATTTCCCATTGGCCCTTAAAGTTAATGTGACTTTCACCTCACCTCAGGTGGGGCCCTATGTAAATCCTCTGATAGGAGGGGTGTGACGATTCTTTGGGTTATGTAATTAAAGGTATTTATGTAAATACTCTTTGGGATTGTGTGCTCATATATGCACATATACTTTTGTACCAATATTGTATTTATTTGTCCTTTAATAATATTGTTGCCCCTATTAAGTATTGTCGTCACATCCTACATATCAGTCGGATTATTATTTATTTTCATTATTGTATCTGTAAAATGGCTCTTTCTGCCTGCACTGTCGAGGTGACAACAAGCCAGCTTGTTTTTTAGGTTTCACCTGGACTGTGCAGTCGGAACTTGCAACTCTGTTACCAAGACTTTTATTTCAATATATATTATTACTGTCTTTTTGTGTTGTGTCATCTTTGACTGGAGCACTTCGCGCAATAGACACACTTGCCCATCCCTTTTCCCGTGAGACGTAATTGTTACGCAATAACAGCAATTACCCAAGTCTTAAATGTAATTGACAACAGCAGTGCTTATTAATTTATGTATACTCAAAGCACAGACTATATTACTCCGGTCAATGGTTCAGTGTGCTCTACCACCCAAGCTGCCTGAGAGGCGCTTGAAGGTTAACAGTCATATGACCTAAGGTCACTTGCCTAAGGTGTGATCACATGTTTTACATTTGCTTCGTTGTGTCAAAAAATTTGGCTACTGGAAACTCTCCTGAAACTTGCATTTAGGTCACTTTCACATGTAAAAAATTATTCCAAAGTCGATTCATCCTCTTGGCGACAGCAGCTATCTGCAGTACCTGGTCATAAGTATTCGTGATTTTGGAAATGATGTTGTTTTTGCTAAAACGAATGCGCCGTTTAGATTCGCACCGCGAGACACATTCAGTGTTCAGAAACGCTGATTTTCTAAAAATAGATTCCCTGTCATGTGCCTGTCACGTGACATGCCTACAAGTTATCGTCTGCTTGTTTACTTCCGCTCTGGCAATGGTCTGCGCCAGTGGGTCGTATGAATCCACCGCTCAATCCGCCTACGAATCCACCAGGATTTCCACGTCTACGAACCAGTCTGGTCTACGAATTCACCTACAGCCGTAAATCACATGAATTGACAACTGACACAAAAGAATTGATTTTAAAATTATACAAAGAAGACAGAAAAATTACAGAAATTGCTCAGCTGTTGGATAGATCTTGGTCAACTATAAAAAGTGTGGTAATAAACTATCAAGCGACTGGTTCAGTTGAAAACAAGCAGCGAAACGGACGAAGAAGACTATTCACTGATCGTCGTTGATCAGGTGTGTCAAAAACAATCTTCGTGCAACATTTGGAAATATTACAAACAAATTAAACAAATATGACTCGAACATTCAGTGAGAGAGCTGTCAGAAGAAAATTTAATTTCCAAGGATATAAACGACGGATTGCCAAAAAATCAGTGTCAACTCGGGACGTTAACTTGAAAAAACGCAGATTGTGGTGTGGGGAATGCAGGAATTTCAAGGTTGATAATATTTGGAGTACATACATTTTTTCTGACGAAAGTCCGGTTGCTATATGAGGTGACAAGCGTGTGTATGTTTGAAGAAAGGGCGATGAAGTAAACCGGCCACATTTAGTGTGTCGGCCCTCGCAACGTACAGTGTCTTTGATGATACGGGTGGGGTGTCACCTTCACTCTTACCCCAGTAAATGGTAACATCAATGCTGCAAAGTATATAGACATCCTTGAAACAATCTTTGGCCAGTTACAGCCCGTCATTATACAAACGAGCCATATGTATTCATGGACGATAATGCTCCCGTACATCGGGCCAGAATTGTGAAAAACTACAAAGAAGAAAATGGTATTATTGACACAGAATGGCCCCCACAGTCTCCTGATCTCAATATAATTGAAAATATCTGGTTAAAAAATTAAGAGGCGGTTGCAACCCGTCGCACATCGCATCAACAAACCTGACGAACTTTACGCGGAAATTCTACGTGTGTGGGAAAATCTCTCACTGGATTATGTCAGAGACTTATATCGGACTTTACCTGACCGTGTACGGGAAGTGCTGCATATGAAGGGTCAACTAACAAAATATTTAAGGTAAGACTTTAAAGCGTTGTCAAGTTACACTGTTTTGAGTTTCCCTCCTTTTCCAGTGCGCATGACATCGTGAACGTCAAAATCACGAATACTTATGGCCAGGTACTGTATTTCCTCGGCATGATACGCTATACAGTGTTCATACCACCAGGGTTAGAATTGGTTTTCAGCAACCCATGCTTGTCAGGTTCCCTGACTTGGTCGACACATGTCATTACATTTCAATTGCATAGATCGATGCCCATGTTGTTGATCACTGGATGGTCTGGTCCAGGCTTGATCATTTACAGACCGCCTCCATATAGCAGCGTTAAACAACAACCCTACAAACCATTTGCCATGCAATCAGTTTTCCTGACTTTCATACCTTTGTAACAAGATCGGAGTATGATTTTACGCTGCTTTTATCAATATTCCAGCAAAAACACGGCGGGGGACACCAGAAATGGGCTTCCCACATTGAACCCATGTGGGGAATCAAACCCAGGTCTTTGGCGTGACAAGCGAACGCTTTAACCACTTGGCTACTCTACCGCCCCATATGTGATATGAACAATTTCTAAAAAAATGATTTCTCTATTTCCTATCTACTTAGAACACAGATTTGTACTATATAGGCATGTGGCCTGTCAGTTTTAACATAACATTCCCTATTCTAGGGAAAGTTACAAATTCTTGGTTCACTTATCCAAAATATTTGTGTTGCAGTGTGGGGTAAGCATCTGGGAAGCATTTCCTTTTCCACATTCCGATTTTAAACTAAATGTTCCTTGTGAGTAGTATGGTTGTATAATCTTGTAAAAAGTTAAACTATTAAAGAATAAATCTGAGACAGAAAGACAGAAACTATATTAAATACTCTTCACCACCCCGTTCCTTTCTTCTCTGCATATGTATCATAAAGTTCTCGGAGATGTACCAGCAATTGCTTGATACCAACTCGCTCTCGGGCTGACACAGCAAATATGGGCAGAGTCACATGATCTCGGAGAGCTTCAAGGTTCTTGTCAGCTTCAGGAAGGTCGACCTTGTTGGCCACAACAGCGCATGGTCTCTTTGAGAGACCTTCCTCGTACTGATCCAGCTCAAACTGGAGGTCATGTAGCTGTTTCCAGGGTTCATCAACAGAGAGGTCAAGGACATATAGAAGGCATGTACATCTTTGAATGTGTCGTAGAAATGAGATTCCGAGACCTCTGTTGAGATGTGCGCCGGAAATCAGTCCTGGTATGTCAGCAACTGTGAACAAAACATGAATGAGTGAGAAGGGGGCTGACAGACAACAGAGAGAGTGAGTGAGTTTAGTTCTACACCGCTTTTAGCAATATTCAAGCACCAGAAATGGGCTTCACACATTGTAGCCAGACAGACAACAGAACTCAAGTAAATATTTCTGAGCATGTTTTAAAATATCTGACACTCATCATTCTCACCACTTCCCCAAACTTCCAAAACAACCCACAACCACATACAATACTGTGCTTACAACCATTGATAATATCAATATAAATCATGAGTAAACAGAGGCTACACTCTTCTGGGAATGCGTTACCTCCCTTACATCAATAGCCCTACTTTGAACATTGTACGAGTAATACTGTGCAGATGAGGACATATGGTGAATCTGGTAAGATTGGGAAGACGGTGACAGCCAATTACCCAGATAATGTATGAGTATTGAGTATTTACTAACACAAAATCATTAACATGTGGAACTGATGTTGAAAAAATAAGTAAATAATTCTGCTTAACACATTGTTGTCACACAACCTGAAAACATTGATCTATGTGTTACAATCAGCTACTGCCTAGTGGATGAACCATCTGTCTTGACAGTGGTAGTTTGATCCTTGACTCAAACCTAACACAGAAAATGCTATTACCCAGCCTGGCTGCCGTTGTACAAAACAACTGTGGCCGAGATGATTTTATATTTGTTTTGTAAATATTTAAGAAATATTTTTAGAATACAAGCTAGAACACTTACACAGTATACAGAAAGTAACAATAGATTTACCACAGCAATTATATAACTCTTAAACTTCACCATAGCCACTGTCACTCTAATGACAAGCGCATTGCATTGTCTGCCTTGTCCCATATCCTTATTATGTAAGTCTCCTTACCTACAGTTCAACTTTATTTCATCAAGCAGTTGTCAGATACTACTCTTACAAGTCAGAGGTCTTACACATGTAATGCTGAGAAATACTTTGGCTTTTTGTGGACCGAGTGGCTGTGGACCTCACTTCTATTTATGCATATATAAGGTCAGTTTGTGTTTTGCTTTCATATTTATGTATTTATATATATGTCTGTATAGTTGTATATGAATAATGCATTGATAAAATATATTTCTCTGTTGAACCAACAAATTAACTTGCCATTGAGTGTGTGTTATTGACTAGTAGTTCATAATTAGTATATAAGTATATTTAAATGTTCAGATATTCTACTAGCTTTGAAGGTAATATAATTTCTCTTTTAATCCATGAACTTATGTCCTATATTTTTATTTCCATTTTTCCTGGTTGCTCATCATTGTGTAAAATTTGTAGAATATCCCGATTGGACACTGCCACCTTAATAAGCTGCCAGCTCATTGCCACACAGTGGTAAGTCAGGTGTACAGATATATTGACTATATATCTTGACAATTTGTGGAGACAGTAATGTGTCAGCTTCCTAAGTATACATTGTAATCTGCACGAGTTAATCTTTTCAGTTTAACTGTATCCACTGTTCCCTTTTGTATATTATCCATGTATAATTCATAGATGTTGTGTGATATGGCTGGTGTAATTAATTTATCAGATATTTTAATAGTAGTTTTGTATAATATTTACAGAGCTGGAAACTGATTAGTAAACTTTGTTTACACAATAAAGAGATTGCTGTCGACTCACAACCCAGTAGCTGTTCTGCGTTATTCTTTCAACTGGAACCTCGTCCGCTACTACACAACCTTAGTGCTAAGACTACCTTAAGAGTATGTTAAGGGAGTTATTGTCACCTTAGCGCTAAGATGACTTTGTACAACGGCACCCAGGTGCTCAGCAATAGCTCAGTCAGGGGACAAACTAGGGACTGGTGGGTACAGAGTCAGTATTTTGTGTCTGATGGTGCATGGTATTGCATAGCACTACAAACTGGAATAATCTTGAACCCATCTTGAACCACAATTTAAACCCCATTATGCTTCAAGTATTTATCCTTTCCATTTTTATCAGATTCCATGGGATGTGGATTTTATCGTCACATATAGTGCTGAGAATGTTCACAGGTTCACAAGTGTCTGCTTCAGACATAAGAGACAGGAGATTTATTATTGGGCTGGCAGGGAAAACAGGAGGTTAACAAAAACTAAAACTAATAATGATATAGCCACTCATATAGCGGTTAACTTCACACCGAAGGGACAAGCCCTAAACACATACAACACGATGGACATCCAGGTGGCAGGGAGAAGCTCTAAGAACATACAACACTATGGACATCCAGGAGGCAGGGACAAGCTCTAAGCACATACAACACAATGGACATCCAGGAGGCAGGGACAAGCTCTAAGCACATACAACACTATGGACATCCAGGAGGCAGGGACAAGCTCTAAGCACATACAACACTATGGACATCCAGGAGGCAGGGACAAGCTCTAAGCACATACAACACAATGGATATTATTACCCCTGATAACCCAAGATGCCTGTGAGGTGCTAGAAGGTTAACAGTCATATGACTTATCCCACCAGGAACCCAATTTCTACTGGGTAAACAGAAGCAGTTTTGAACAAACTCACTTGCTTAAGGTGAGATCACATGTATGCTTCGTTGTGGGGCAGGACAGAAGTTCTAGAGAGTCAAGCTGCCAGACATGGTCACCTATCCAAGGACTCTGTGACCAATGTTGCTTAACTTCAACTGATTTGCGGGTACACCTACAGAATAGCGGATACCTACCACCCTAACCCTAACCCTTACCCTAACTCTAAGTAAACCCGCATGCTTTCAAAGATGGCGGAAGGTAACCGGTATTCTGTAGTCTTACTGATTTGTGTCCCCCTCTATGCACAAGACTATACACCATCACACATGTGGGAGGGTAATGAATAATTCAACATGCTATTATAAAATATCAAGTGGTTCTGTAGTGGTTCTTCCTGGGAGGGTAATGAATAATTCAACATGCTATTATAAAATATCAAGTGGTTCTGTAGTGGTTCTTCCTGGGAGGGTAATGAATAATTCAACATGCTATTATAAAATATCAAGTGGTTCTGTAGTGGTTCTTCCTGGGAGGGTAATGAATAATTCTACATGCTATTATAAAATATCAAGTGGTTCTGTAGTGGTTCTTCCTGGGAGGGTAATGAATAATTCTACATGCTATTATAAAATATCAAGTGGTTCTGTAGTGGTTCTTCCTGGGAGGGTAATGAATAATTCTACATGCTATTATAAAATATCAAGTGGTTCTGTAGTGGTTCTTCCTGGGAGGGTAATGAATAATTCAACATGCTATTATAAAATATCAAGTGGTTCTGTAGTGGTTCTTCCTGGGAGGGTAATGAATAATTCAACATGCTATTATAAAATATCAAGGTTCTGTAGTGGTTCTTCCTGGGAGGGTAATGAATAATTCAACATGCTATTATAAAATATCAAGTGGTTCTTCCTGGGAGGGTAATGAATAATTCAACATGCTATTATAAAATATCAAGTGGTTCTGTAGTGGTTCTTCCTGGGAGGGTAATGAATAATTCAACATGCTATTATAAAATATCAAGTGGTTCTGTAGTGGTTCTTCCTGGGAGGGTAATGAATAATTCAACATGCTATTATAAAATATCAAGTGGTTCTGTAGTGGTTCTTCCTGGGAGGGTAATGAATAATTCAACATGCTATTATAAAATATCAAGTGGTTTTGTAGTGGTTCTTCCTGGGAGGGTAATGAATAATTCAACATGCTATTATAAAATATCAAGTGGTTCTGTAGTGGTTCTTCCTGGGAGGGTAATGAATAATTCAACATGCTATTATAAAATATCAAGTGGTTCTGTAGTGGTTCTTCCTGGGAGGGTAATGAATAATTCTACATGCTATTATAAAATATCAAGTGGTTCTGTAGTGGTTCTTCCTGGGAGGGTAATGAATAATTCAACATGCTAATATAAAATATCAAGTGGTTATGTAGTGGTTCTTCCAGGGAGGGTAATGAATAATTCAACATGCTAATATAAAATATCAAGTGGTTATGTAGTGGTTCTTCCAGGGAGGGTGATGAAAAAATGTACAAGGACATTGGTCCTCAACAGTCCTGTTATAATTTAGTGTGCGCATTCGGTGAATTGAAGTATCGTATCTAAAACAAGTATTTGACACTAACATGGCAATGTCCCCACTGCTAAAGAAGATTGAAAGATATTGGATACAACAGTGTATGAGATATCGCATTAACAAGAGTTTGAAAAGTGGTCAAAGTGTCGTGGTGACCTTGAAAACGAGGCCAAGGTGACCAAAATCGACTGGTGTCTGCGTAATCCACAAATTTAGGCTGTCACCAATTTTGAAGACATTGGGTACAACAGTTCATGAGATAAAAAAAATCAGCACGTGCGTACAGACACGGACACGCCTGAATACATAATATTTGAAAATTTGTGAATCGAATGTATTAGGGGTGACTATCAGGGGGAATGAAGTATTGCGATAGTCTATTGTGGCCAACTATTGCAATAGTTCCTTTCTCCTTGAATTGACTCATTTGAAGTCATTTCCCAAATGAAAATATAGGTCATATGAAGTAAAAACAAGCTGAAGTAGTTTCAGTTTCATTTAATAACTGACAAGAAACTTGAAATCCAGATCAAGTTTGTTTAAGAGGTAACAGGGGCAGACATTTCTAAATCAAAGTGAATGAATCTGGTACTTTCTGTATCGATAGTTTTTCGCATTTATCAAAAGAAGTCAGTTACTAAACTATCGATAGTCACATGTACTTTCTGGATCGATAGTTTTTCGTTTATACCATTAAATTACTATCGGAGACTCAACAATTGCAATCCATCGATAGTTTGATGCATCATTACAGCCCTAGGACATATCCCTTCATGAATTCAATTCACTTTTCAGGTCATTAGAAACAAATATTTACGCATATGTTTCAAAAAGTGTTTTTACTAATAACTTGTTTTGTCTGTTTGTACTCTACACATAGTTAGTTGTTTATCTAAGTGAATAAAAGAAAAATGGATTATGTCCCAGTTATGCAGTAACTCATGTACCGAAGTATATGTTTGGTATAGAAACAGGGGCTGAGGTATCATAAATGATATCCTGTTCAACATTCTCACCAGCGATCTGTTCGAAGTCATCATACATCACCATGCCGACATGAGGGTTGAGGGTTGTGAAAGGATATGATGCCACCTTTGGTCGTGCTCGTGAGATTGCCCGCAGAAGGGTAGACTTCCCAGCATTCGGGAACCCTATCTAACATAAAAAAATATTTGAATTTTAACGATAAATTGTTATATTATTATATTGTTATTATTCATAAATACTTATCCTATTTCAGGTTATACACTTTATCTTGTTCCTATGACCACAATCTGGAACAAGTTTTCAACCTCTTAAACACCTTGACCAAACACACCCCAGCTCCATCTGTTGATGTAGGCCTTCACACCTAACTCATGGAATGCATCCAGTCATACTCCACTTGATCATGTGACTTCTTTATCTTCATTCAGTTTCTCGTTTTCTGAGATTGAAGACGTCCTTTCCTTTGAAGATTCTCCCTTGACTATTCTAAGTGTTTCTATGTTGAAAACTTCACCATATAAGCAATATCAGTATGGAAGGGGTCTGCAAATAATCGAGTCTGGACCAGACAATCCAGTGATCACCAGCATGAGCATCAATCTACTTAATTGGGATACATGGCCATGTGTCAACCAAGTCAGCGAGTCCGACCACCAGATCCCATTAGTCGCCTCTTAAGACAAGCATAGGTTGCTGAAGAAAACATTCTAACCCGGATATTCACCTCGAATTTAAAGAATGGAACTCATGACCAAAACCATGTATCCTGGAAGCAAGGGGTGCCTATCAGCACAGCAACCAAAACCTTGTATCCTGGAAGCAAGGGGTGCCTATCAGCACAGCAACCAAAACCATGTATCCTGGAAGCAAGGGGTGCCTATCAGCACAGCAACCAAAACCATGTATCCTGGAAGCAAGGGGTGCCTATCAGCACAGCAACCAAAACCATGTATCCTGGAAGCAAGGGGTGCCTATCAGCACAGCAACCAAAACCATGTATCCTGGAAGCAAGGGGTGCCTATCAGCACAGCAACCAAAACCATGTATCCTGGAAGCAAGGGGTGCCTATCAGCACAGCAACCAAATCCATGTATCCTGGAAGCAAGGGGTGCCTATCAGCACAGCAACCAAAACCATGTATCCTGGAAGCAAGGGGTGCCTATCAGCACATCAATCAAAACCATGTATCCTGGAAGCAAGGGGTGCCTATCAGCACAGCAACCAAAACCATGTATCCTGGAAGCAAGGGGTGCCTATCAGCACAGCAACCAAAACCATGTATCCTGGAAGCAAGGGGTGCCTATCAGCACAGCAACCAAAACCATGTATCCTGGAAGCAAGGGGTGCCTATCAGCACAGCAACCAAAACCATGTATCCTGGAAGCAAGGGGTGCCTATCAGCACAGCAACCAAAACCATGTATCCTGGAAGCAAGGGGTGCCTATCAGCACAGCAACCAAATCCATGTATCCTGGAAGCAAGGGGTGCCTATCAGCACAGCAACCAAAACCATGTATCCTGGAAGCAAGGGGTGCCTATCAGCACAGCAACCAAAACCATGTATCCTGGAAGCAAGGGGGGCCTATCAGCACAGCCAGATGTATTACCTTCAACTACTGTCGACCAAGTCAAAACACTGGTAAGACGTATACATTCAACCTTACAATCAGGTTGCATCTGGGATCTGACAATAAACAGATCCTAGTATTTCTACAGGAAGAAACACTGAACTACAAATTAACACCACAGGCAAAATGGTCAAATTTAATTTCCAAATCATAAATGCATTCCAAATCAACCATTAAGAGAAAACTCCTCACCAGTCCTGCATGCGCCATTGTTTTCAGTTCTACTAGCAGAACTCGTCTCTGGCCCTCAGCACCTGCTTCTGCATATGCAGGGGCACGATTCTCATTGGACAGGAAGAAGTGGTTACCATGACCACCAGCACCTCCCCGTGCAGCCACAAAGTACTCCCCACTGGCCTCCAGGCTGGACAGCATCTTCCCATCCTCATCTTTCACAACAGTGCCAACTGGAACCTTGAAATTGGTCTTTCAAACTTAATTAAAAAATTTATTTATGTGATTTTCACCCCACCCATTTCCTTGTCAAACTCTCCGTCTGTACTATAAAACACCATATACTGAGTCAAGTCAAACATTAACACAGGCAGTATGAACAGTTTTGAATAATTACTCACTACGTCCATTTTTGTAACATTTAGAAGACAATCAAATCATGAATTCTTTGTAGAGAGTCAGGGACTGTTGAGCTAAGTATTTCAGCTGGTCTATACTAAGTTGCTCTTTTTGAGAATACACTCACTTTTTGCCTAAGCTAAACAATCTGTTTTCACACAGGAGCTTATTTACTTTGTGCTAAAATGCACGTGTTAATATATCTAATATTTATATATTATCTAAGACATATGCCATGTGCCATCAAAAAAGCATTGGGTGTGAGCACATATGCAAGTGTTTCTTGTTACTCACGGCACCAATAGCCAATATTTTCACTGCAATGTGCATGCGTGAGGGTACGTACAAAAATACAGAGAATGGTATTATGAGCATCGACCCAAGCTGCTGGGGCACACTGGCATGTGAAGCCACTTGGCCCAATAACCTGATCCAACTTACCGTCAGATTTGGTTTTACACCACTTTTAGCAATATTCTAGCCACCTCACCGCGTGACGAGTGGACGCTTTAACCACTAGGCTACCCACCCCACTGCCTCTCAATCCAACTTACAAGCATAGCTTGATTGGGACCAGTTCAAACCTGTCCCCAGTCCACTCATTCCCTCAGACAAGCACTGGGTGACTGGGACCAGTTCAAACCTGGAACGCCCACCAGTCCCCAGTCCACTCATCCCTCAGACAAGCACTGTGTGACTCGGGATATATTCTATGAGGGTCCTGACTTGAATCCAGTCCGAAGTGTGCAGTCAACAAACATACCAGCAGACATCGTCATCCTTTATCAAGTTAAGTTTTAAAATGTAATCAGAAGCGGATCTGTTTTAACAGAAACTGAACAGGCTTATCAGAATACACCTCCTCAAAACAACAGGTTTCTAGTTTTCATGAGTTCCAACCCCCACGAGAGAAAACGTTTGAGATGCCGGGATCCAAGGGCCATCATCCCTAACTGGGCTAATCAAACGTATAATTGCAAATTGCAAGTTACTGAAGACAATATATTTTGTGTGATTTTGAATGAATTTGTATTTCTATTTTTCATATGAACCCAGTTTAGCATGAGATTTATCAGTTTTGTCGTGAGAGCATGACATTAGTTATAAATGCGTGGGATTTGACAGGTATGCATATTTTGTACTCGATCAAAATATCAGGATAGAGGGTAAAATGATAGGAACTCCAGTTCTTGTGAATCATATACATAAAGTTACTGGTTAGAATAGGTTTTCAGCAACCCATACTTGTTATAGTAGGCAAGGGGGGTTGGGGTAGCCCAGTGGTTAAAGTGTTCGCTCGTCACACCGAAGACGGGTTTGATTCCCCACATGGGTACAATGTGTGAAGCCCATTTCTTGTGTCCCCCCACCATGATATTGCTGGAATATTGCTAAAAAGCAGCGTAAAACCATACTCACTTACTGTAAAGGGCAAGTAGCGGAATCAAGTGGTCTCACAAATATTGTGAATCATCGTCCCCAGCAGTCAAATATGATACCTTATTTCAAGCTGACCGTCACATCAAAACCTACCTCTACCATCAAGTGTTCTGCATTCTTGCCATGGCAGTGTCTGGCACGACCTTTGACACCACCCTCTGCTCTAATCACAGGGTCAAGGTCAGCCAGAGACTTCCTGTTTACAGAAGCTGCAACAATCATGTTACATACCTATAGGCATGTGCTTAGATCTCAGCCAACCACAAGATAAACCATGAATTTGGAGAAGAATGTGTATCTTCAGATTTTCAAATGTAATAGAATATTTCACACAAGGTTTAAATTGGTGAAATACATTGGCATTTTTCATAACACCAGCAATTTAGCAAGCATTCCAAACTGGAACTTTTCAAAAGTTCTCATTTTCTAAAATAATTTTTAATAACATTGCAAAGTAAAGTTTCATTCCATGCAATTATGTAAACAAAATCCCTAATTCTGTTGGTTCTGATATCAGTACAATACGATTCACCTTGACAAAGCTATCACAGTTATTATTTCTACAGGTATATCACAGGTATGTTAACGTAAATGAGGAAATCTTAAATTCCCATTTGGAATTTTTTCATTACAACTGGGGTAGACTTGGCACTGAATTTCAGCCTATGAGCAGGACAAGATAAATCTCTTAACACACAAAGTTTACCTAAACTTTCAACATGGTGAACACCAACATTTTCAACATCTGCACTGCGGTGATCACACTGACAGCAGGTCAAATATAATGTAAGGTTGTAAAAGACAAATAAACTAATCAGTGGATTGGACGACCATACTCTGCGTCTCGATTGAATGTCACGGCACTGGAATGTTACTCACAATGTTAATCACTGGCTTGTTGGATTTCAGTCGAAAAAATGACAGGACACCATTAGTTTTGACTTGATTACAGCATATTGCATACACCACGTAACACAAGGCTGTACAAAACCTACCCTGTCTCATAAATAACATGATCACAATCTGAACTATGATAATCTTCAGCAATAACAACCCTCACCTTTGAACACAACATGGCCTCCATTGCCACCATTCCCGCCATCTGGTCCCGCCCACTCTTTTCGAGGGAGACTTGTGAAGGCCATACAGCCATGCCCTCCATCACCACCAATCACCTCAACCTTCCTGAAGTCCACAAAATGTTTGGCCTGAAACCAACCAAAAAACACGTTATTATTTCTCATTATTTTGGTTGTCATGGTTTCCTTTGCTATAGCCACTACTCTACTGGTCAATATATGTCTTCACTGAATGCTCTCATTGGCGATTTCCATGTAGGTGGGAAAACACTATTTTCATATTTCCCGCAATAATCGCACAGGTGGAAATGGACCAGTGAGAGCAGTTTTCTGTTTCACAGTCGTTCAGAAATTTACAGAAACTCGATGTTTACTGAAGAGAGGCTAAACGTTTGTTCAAAACAGACGTGAGTTGAGTTGAAATGGGATTTAACAGCACACTTAAGAATATTTTGCTCATATGATGACGTGCATGGGTGTGTATGTGTGGCTGCAAGTACTAGCCCAGACTTGAGCTGGTGTTATAGTGCTAGCTCACTGAGACACCATGCACCAAATAAGCATGAATACCCCACTCAGACACATTATACTGACTCCGTGCCGGCCGGTCCTTGTTGTACCCATTAATGCCAGGCAGGGACCATATTTTAACATCTTTTGGTGTGACGCATCCAGGGATTGAACCCACGATCTTACCCTCTCCGGGCAGATGCTCTAACCACTACACCACAGAGGCGGTCTGTTCAAAGCAGAGGGTAGTGGTAATGAGAGGGTCAGTGCTCAAATATGAAATGCAATTGGACAAAATGAATACGATGAGCACAAAGGTAAAAGAATGGCCTACAAGCTCAGCACAGTTTTTGTCGAAAAACGTAAGGTTTGATTGAACCGCACCTTAAAATAGTTGGGCTGCCTGGTTTTCGATCAGGCTTTTAGCATCAGGAGTGTCATCCCTTTGTATATTTTATATCACGGCTTAACGGTAGAATTTTCTAAAATCTATGTTTCTCCACCAATTTCGTTCAAAATTGAAATACTAGTACGTAACATATACAAACAATATATGATTGCAATAGTTTAGATTTTTATCTTTAAAACCTACTGCCCAAACAGTGATTGGAACCCCTGTGAATATATCACTTGTTATGTGGCAGTGTTATTCATTGTGTAACAATGTTCCAAGTGTAATACATATATAGAACGTCATGCTAGTGCATTTGGATGTTTTGTATTGAACGAGACGATGTCATGGGTGCAGAGAAACAACGAAGTTCGAAGAACAAGTTGTTTCTCTGCACCCATGACATCTTCGAGTTCAATACAAAACATCCATATGCACTAGTATGACGTTCTGTATTTATTATATACCCTCAGATCTTGCATTAATCTGTTACTTAATAAAACATATCATAGCGTAGCAATGTAGAACCGGCAGGAGTTCAATTCGGAATCTGGGGTGCAATACAGAATTTGATGATGTCATCCGTATTGCACCCCTGTATTGCTATCCTAAGTTTACATGGGTATGTAATAAAGACATTTTCAGCGCATGTAAAGGTAAAACCATGAAATATATCTTTTAACAAAGTGGAAATGTATGGGTACACAGATTTCAATCTGTCTCTACTGTCTCTGTTCCTGTGTTGTTGGCTTGGTTTAAGGTTTGGGAAACTAAAGGAGTAGCATCAGGTAAAACTTATTGATACATAAACAAGGATTGCTCCCTTGCCCCATATACACATTGAAAACAACATCAGGGGCCCTTATTTAACAAATAGTCAGTGAGTGAGTATGGTTTTTTCGCCACTTTTTGTAATATTCCAGCAATATCACGGTTGGGGACACCATAAATGGGCTTAACACATTGTATTTGTACCCATGTGAGGAATCGAACACAGGTGTTTGGTGTGATGAGCAAACACAATAACCACTAGGCTACCCAACTGCCCCTATTAAATAAATAAGTGGCATTTACACTAGTGTAACCATGGTTATGTTGCCCAGATGACACGAGGATTTTGAGATAAAACATCACTAGACATAATGATTTTTCCATTGAAATTATAATTTCTATAAATATAAATACTTGCAATGAACCATACTAAGCCATGTATAATACATGTATCTGTTTTCTGTCAGCTAAAGTGAATTTTAAGGTGTCAATAGCCTTCATTTCACCATGGTTGCTGTAAATAACAGTGAGTTGTACACTGCCAACAAATTTACACATGATTTCGTTGAATTTACCGTAAACAATACTGAATGAAATTTGAATAAAATTAATGAAATAGATTAAAGACATAAATGAAGACATACAGTTATTAATAACCAGGCAGTGTAATTACATATTAACATTGTGTATTCAAATTAATATTAGTTGACAAGGTATTTTGGGTGCCACATGCTCATGGTAATGAGTGAGTGAGTTAAGATTTCTAGTCACATCAGCAGTATTTCACCCATATGGTGACCAAAACAAATTATACATTTATGACACATAAATCAAGAATATAAAAACCTGTTGAAGAACTACATTAAAAATAACCAGAAAATCACACATACAAATGTAAAACCAGCATGTAAATCTGAAACCATAGACAATACAACATATAAAACAAGCTAAGGAAGGATAACAATATATGGATGAACAACTTCTTTATTGCTGTGACAGCGACATTTCGGTGTAGGTTCTAACACCGTTATCAAGTAAGTGATGAACAGCATCAAGCTACAGTCGTCAACAACTGAAGGTAGATCACCATACTAAGGACCACTTATTTAATTATAACTGACCAGGTCAAAAAGATCCTTAATTATTTTTACACTGAAATATTGATCCCTTGTGATGGTAAAATCATTACAGTCAAGCAGGACATGCTTCACTCTGATTATTTCATCACTCACCTTTCAACAGGTACTCATGAGTATATCTTGAATGACTTCGTATTTATATAAATGTTGATTTCCAGTTACAATAAAAGTTCTCTGGTTGCATAGCATGCAATTTCCGGCCCTGCATAGAGGCATGAGTAATAGTCACAGCAGTGAGTCACCATGGTCATAAAGCCACAAACACGCAGAAAAAGACTATATACATATATTCACAGCCTCAGATGTCACCATTTCACTCAACAAATTCCAAAATTTTCTGAGCCCTCACCCCCTAAACCTACACCAATAAGGTTGCTACCTCCCCTACCCACACCGACAACACTGTTTGGTTGACCAGTACCTCATTGGGGCACCAGTGTTGGGAGTTGACCCACTCATATCTAACTGCATGGGTCCAGGACCCTATTCAGATAAATGCCACAAGGATCCCTGCATAAATATTGAGAACAATGACATCCCTTCATTACTACATATTTTTTATGGGCCCTTACTACATATCCATATGACCTGACACTCAAATACCTGGGATTCCTTGCCTTTTGCTTTGTTTGGATTAAGAGGCTTGGCTGCAAGATGACGAGTTTGGGAAAGTCGCACCAGCTGCCGCAGAGCTGTCGACAACAGCAGCGATGACCTTTTCATCTGCAACAACATCAGTAGATTAAAAGACTACATGCTAAAGTTCATTGTTTATTGCCTAAAACTTTTGTTGCAGTACCTGCTGTATATAGAAAGAGCCAATTTTCACAAATGTAGAAAGAGGCAATTTTCACTCTACGTATTAAGAGTCAATTTTCACTCTCTACTTAGAAAGATACTATTTTCACTCTCTACATTGAGAGAGGCAATTTTCACTCACTCATTATGTATTTTACTGATTTTAGCATCTGCATATGTTACTTCATCAAAAATCCATTTTATTTAAATACATTTTGAGACCTCTGATCGTGTAAAACAATCGGATCAAAGACTCAATTCCCTTTTTCAAATCAAAACTTTGAATATATATATATATTAGTCATTTTCATACATCCACACTGAAATCATCAGCTAAATAACTTCCACTTGTATATTCAATTTCATTCTGAATGGCTTATAACAGTTAAACCACTGTGTCTTACCCCGGAATAATATTACTGGCTATTATGAATCACTGTCACTTAATCTCTTGATAAAGTCGATGTTCAGTTAGTCTCAGTCTGTGTGTATGTTTATAACAGGTGACATGAAAATATTATCCCATACATGTATTTATTATGCACTGAGTTGATAAAATCATTTATATCAATGATTGATACCATCCTTTGCAAAGTGAAATGGGCTACTTAATGTCTGTGAATGGGCTGCTTAATGTCTGTGTGAAAGTGAAATGGCTACTTAATGTCTGTGAAAGTGAAATGGGCTACTTAATGTATGTGTGTGAAAGTGAAATATATCAAAAACTATTCGATCAACACCAGCATAGTTTCTTTAAGTTATCTGCATTAGCCCATGCCCCTATTGCCTCACCCTCAACCACGGGTGACGGCATTTGTACCTTTGGACAATACACAAAGTGAGAGAGAGTGAGTGCTTTATCTCATTTCCCTATATACATTCATCGAGAGACCTTAGTTGTCTAAACATGATATCTTTTCATAATTCACACCTCAACTGATTTGATTTGACTAGTGTGCATTCACACTAAATTGTATTACACTGTAACAATCGTTAAAAAGCATCATTTTAATTATATATCAAAAAGCATTTATAATAGAACCTAGTACGAATTTCATAACGTATTGAGTTAAAAGTGGACAACATGATCCATCGTTTGTCAAGGAATGATCTGCTTCATTTTATATTGTGGGAATTTAACTATGATAACTGATTGATCAGCACCTTTATGATCTGGCGATAGATTCACAGGCTTGTGCAAGACTCATAGCGTATCCGTGAAGCTTGTCACGTTACAGGTAAACTTCCTGACGAGTGACGGCACATGTAAGCCTAAAGGTTGAGGTCATAGGTCGAAAAAATCTCACTGCGGAATGCCTCCTAAAAGTTTCGATGTTCCATAACTACTATTGATTAAATTTTGACATCCAATGCATATCATTGGAACGGCAAAATGACTCTGAATTGCGTCAAATATGTTTTATAGTGTTTTCAGCAAATAGCTTCACCGTTCAACATTTGCTGCTGGACATAAAATCAGGCGAGGTCAGACTTCCGGTGTGTATTCCAGACGGCGGCCAGTAACACTAATCATGGGTCTCAAGTCAGAGGACGAAATTTTACACAATTCCATGACGGAGGACGACCCAAACAGTAACATTCAGTTTAACAAAGCTGCGAAACAAACAAGATGGGGCCCCCGGCACGCCGGAGCAAAAGAATTGGCGAGCCAGTACACGGCAGGTAGGTCAGCTGTCAAGTGTCAGAACTTGCTTGGCAACCTACAAATAATTCTGATAGTGATGCAAGCGCGCCAAGTACTCCATTGCATTGCTATAGAAATGATAGCTTTACATAGGTAATATTCCCGACCCTATACGTCATGTATTAAACAGTGTGTTTCGCAAAATCGTAGATCGCCTTTATATAACAATATGTTCACTTCCTGAATGTTATAGGCCAAGCTATGCTTACAATATGCATATTTGGGTTGTTTGTATCAACTGTTGGTGGATTGAATCAGCTGTGTTATTTGTGGATTGAATCGTTTCTCTAAACCGCAGGGTCTCGCCCATTATTCACCACTGCAGAATGTTCAGAATGGGATTACATGACTGATGTTAGTTATATAACTAGAGCGGTAGGATAGCCTTGTGGTTAAATGTTTGGTCGTGACACCAAAGACCAGGGTTCAATTCCCCACATGGACACAATGTGTAATGTTGTTGAAAATTGCACAAACTGGCAAAAAACCATACTCACTGTTGTATAACTAGTAATGGTAGCATAATCATTGCCAGTATTTGTTTTGACCACTGACACTCATTGAAATCCCAAATTATTATTTGATTTATTTTCTATTTCTAAACCCTACTGTTAAGTGCAAAACAATGATACATTGTGGACATTGATATACTGTAGTAAAGATAACTTTGACAATTGTTTTATGTGTTTCTGATCTCCAACCTCAACATGCTCAACCATAAACAGGCAAGTGGGTGAAAAAGAATTAAAAGTTAAATTTCTTCTGTAACTTATGTTATATTTGGGATTACACTTTCTCAGTAAAGGACAGATTCTAGTACTTTTGTTGGGTTGAGTCCCATCCGGGATTCGAACCCACACCCTCAGAGTCAAGCACCTAATCGCCAGCACACAAAGTCAGCCACCAAATCCACTCAGCCACCGCTACTTCCAATAGTTTACACAGTCACTGATCATGGTGATTGTGTAAACTATTTTATGACATTTTAGAGTTCAGAACCCTTGTTACCTGTCTTAAACATATAATTTAAAAGAATTTTGTTATTTTATGTAGGGTCAGCTGGAGATGGAACACACAGAAACGAATGTGGAAAGGCATTTGTGTGTGTATGTGTCTAAGAGATGATTATATGTTTTTCACTTAACATCTGTCCTTTATATATATTGCCCTTTACATTGCCCCTGTCAGCATTTTTTAATTTTAATGTTTAGATTGTGGCACATATGCTTTTTTTTCAATAATCAATATTCACATGCCACTTGTGAACATCTAACATATTGTTCAAGTTGTACTATTGAATCATGTATAGGTCAAATAAGTATGCACCAGCTTAAACCTTCAATAACTCAAGACTTTCTTGTATGACCATGTTGATATTCATCCAACTAGCAATGCATGTTTTCCAGGCAGCAGAAAAAAATGTCTAGGTGATTTAATTGCAGAGATCCAGCCTGTCACAGTGTCAGGTGTGATGTGAAGTTATGAATATGTAATTTGCAGAACATGTTGCATTACCATGATTATTCAAGAGAAATTAGGCAGGAAAAACAACTGGTATGCATTGTCATAAGCCTTATGTTACAACTTTCAGTTTTTGTCCTAAGATTCATTTCTATGCTTATACTATAGCAGCTAGTTCCAAGTATCCCAGGTGTTGCGGAGGATGGACCCCCTGTTTTGGTTTAAAAAACATTGTACATTGTATTTATTAACATATTATGGAACATGGATACCGTTTTAAGTTTTTCCCTCTGGATCTGATTTGAATGTATCATGTCAAGGTTGGAATTTCTTTGTTGTTCACAGTTGGTTAAAAAGTAATATTGGGAACACTCAGAACAAACCTGGTCTGGAAGACACTACAACATAGAATTGCTTTACCTTACATACATACATACAAACATTTGTATAGCGCCCATATCCAGTACATCTGCTCAAAGGTGCTTTGTTTTTCCTCGATCATTGGATGTCCATCACAACGGCACATCATATTTTCAATCTCAACTCCCTGGGGATCATACAACTCTTGCTGCCTACTAGGCGCACCGAGTTAATGTGGCTTTCCCATCCTTATGAGGTACCCATTCACAGCTGGGTGGACTGGGACACATAGTCACAGTACTTTGTCCAACTTTACTGCACGTTGCTGTACCCGCAACTAGGTGTTTGCACGTATTCATGTGGCCACCATCTGGTCATATGCCAACGGATTCGTGGGTTCTTTTAAGTGCACAGGGTTGTGTACTGTACACTAGGGGTTGTGACAACACTGAAAGAGTCTGCACACAAAGTTGACTCCAAGGTTTTTACACCCGGTCACAGGTGGGCTGGATCCCGGCACCTCCAAGCTCGCTGGATTACTAGTAGCCTGGCTGCCTTAGACAGCTCACCCACCGTGCCCCTTACATAAGTTCTCACATCCGGACCCCCTAAAGATTCAAAGTGATCCAAGTTCATGTGGATGTTAAAATTGTATGTTAGTATCGTTTTCAGTTTTTGAGTATGAGATATAAATAACAGCTGTGGGTATCATTATGCGATACATAATTTATATATTCCTTTTTAATCTCGATCCAATCAGTCTGATGTTCACTTAGAATGTTTAGTCTGGCGATGTGATTCATGTTCTGTGTTTGAACAGTTCACAAAAATGATGGGATGATATGAAAGACTGATGAAGCAGTCAACTTGACAAACAGTAACTTATATACCCAGTTATCCATCTAATACAACTTACAAGCCCAATCCAACAAACACTGTACCCTTTAACACATAGATTTGGTTCAGTATGTTGCACATTTATATTTGTGTAGGAAAAAGTAATTCTATTAAAGTATTATCGTGATTATGATTGATAAATAACTGATTTGTGCAAAAACAGCACTAATTATTGCCAAGTGTTAATTTGATCACATACATTGTACAAACACAGGATTTAATCATTAAATTGTAACAATTCAACAGACTTTTGATAGTATGTATTTTCTTTTCCATTTGTTCTATATGCATGATCTAATGACTGATGACAATATGTGAGGTCATTCAGCTGTACTGAACAATTGCAAGGCTCATGTAAACAGCAGACCTCCTGTCACCTTTCTTTGGATCACTTGGATGCTTCCAGCTGCTCAGCAGGTTCAGTAAAACCTAGCATGCAAGGAGAGTGTAGTGTTAGCAGTATTGCTGTAAATAGCACTTGTAGTTTATGGAGACTTTCAACATCTGTGCCATGTCTACTGCATGCAAAATAGGAGGACAGCCCTTTCACATACCAGGATTCTACGATACTGGGTTCAAATCTTAGACTACACGAAAATTATCAGGGCTCCAGAAAATGTTTTAGTACTGGATATTAATTGTTGTATTTGGTTATTCAATATCATCTGTACTTCCCTGAGGTAAATATATTCGGGAATTTCTCAGTAGGTAGATATATTTCTCAGATTTGTGATGGATTGTTCACTGCAGTAGAGGTAATGCTGCAGTCCATTGAAACAAAGATGGGAAAGATCACATGTGTGCAAGATGAAAAGTATGCAGTGGGTTATTACTAAGATTATGTATTTCCAAAGAAATATCATAGCAATGTTTTACAACACAGGTGTCCAGATTGCATTGTATTGTGATATGTTCAGAGGTAACATGTTTGACTGTGATTTACACTGTTTGTTCATGCATGATCCTATTTGCTTCATACTAGGGCCCAAAAAATATATCTTGCAGTTTTGTTGACAGCACTTTCACAATGTCAAAGTTATTGTTGTGAAGAAGCCTCTTGGGGAGAAACGTGAGAGAGAAGAATCGCTTCCACATTTCTGCCATTTTGTAAATTTATTTCGATGGGAAACACCAGCTGTGAACAAGTTGCTGCGTAAATTTTAATTTGAACCATTGAGATCAAAACAAAACTTGTTATAATTTTATCCAATATGATATTACACAGGATATATTTTTACAAAACATGTTATTAGAAAATTGTAAAGTGGTATATCAGTATAGAGCTGATGCCATGCAGTCCAAGTTATAACATCTGGCCCAGACTCGATTATTTATCAACTGCCGCCATATAGCTGGAATATAGCTGAATACATGTACAGCGTTAAACAACCAACCAACCAACCTACTTATTACAAAATATATTTTACTATATGTTGGTTTGGTTTTTTTCAAATTTTCAACCATATTTGTTCTCAGCTTGCCCACACAAGTACAAAGTAATTGGGTAATGGTGATGTATTTGGCAAATTATATTCACAGTACCACATTATAGAGGATTTCAACAAAGTAATAAGCACTTGCATCAGTCTCTGTTCTCCTCTTCCATGAAGCTGACAAATTATGATGATGATGATGATGATGATGAAACTGAAACCATGTTAATTGCAGAGTGTTACGGTTAAAAATTTGCCGTGACAAAAGTTTAAAAGTCCCCTTTGAACCAGCAAAATAGAACACAGACAAGTCTAAAATATTCAATAATATATTGAATAAACAATGAGCAAACTACAATGAATGACAATACAGATATCTAGTACAATGCAATTGAGTCACAAATCTAAAATATTGGGTGACAAATATAAAATATTAACTCACCAGAGTCTTGACATTCACAGTGAGAACAGATATACTGATTGAAGGTTGTTTACAATGACAACAGTTGAATATAGGCAAGCACGGTCAGTCTTGACGATGTTGAGCAACCTCGACGATGGCAGACAGATGTGTATAACTCCAGTGATGTGATAAGTCCGTGGCACAACACAACAACCAGCCTTTATATAGCTCTTACAGAGTTCTCGAGCATTCTAGCAAAGCTAGGCTGTGTCATTATCCACTCAGAAATAAACAAGATTGCCAAGGGAGGCTATCAAACGTGCTGCTAAACATACTATTGCCATTGAACATATGTGATGCAAGATGTGACACACAACCCACACTCAAAACATTTTAAACATAATATTTATCACTTAATCAATGTGATATTACAAATTACAAAAAAAAACACTCTCATAACAAGAGTTAAACCCAGAGTTAATTTCTACCTATGTCAATAATGATATCTGTCAATAAAAGGGCTGGGACGATTCACAGATGCACTGATACATCACGATACATTTAAATTTGATACAGCTATCGTATCGTTGACTTGTGTATAGATACAAAATGATATACAACATTTTTTCAAAACAGTATTATCTTAAACATGTGAAAGTACCTATTTAGAGAAAAAAACGCAAGTATGATATTTACTTGTTTGTTTATAACAATAGTGTTATTGTTATATGCAAATACCTTGAAATAAATCATTTTAGATCTTAATACTGTATCATTCTTTAAATTTGAGGTCAGTTTCCAGTATTACACACTCATATGACATGGATGATTGACCACTGTTAACATAATGTTCTCTCATATAATTAACGTTAGTTGATAGTGGATGAATGTATCCTTAATGTCATACTTTAACTCATTAAAACTCATATTTGTTGGAGCATGACAATATTATTTCAGTATTGCATTTTCATAATAGAAATAGGGCCTAGGGAAATATATATGATGACCGATCAAGCTGTGCTATATATCATATATCCAGCAATAGCTATCAGTTGTACCAAAATGGTATGCTCATAGTTATTGTTATTTCAGGTATATGTGTAAATTAAAATTGCAACGTAACATGATATTGGAATATATTATTCCTGATATTAAATTCATTTCTGATTCAATTCATTTTGGCCATTGTGTCAAGCTTTGTGGTGATATGTTATTGGGAGAAAAAGTGTGTTCTATCTGTTGTAGGGTGGTTTCCCTGTGTGGCACTTGGGTCTGTCACACATCACTGATTACATGTGCCACACAGGGAAATTGTGTGGAGGGCATGTGCCAGACAGGGACAGCTCACCCTTTCAGTTAGTTAGGTGTAACGAGGTATGAACTCATGTGTGGAGTACAGCACGTGTGAGAGAGACATTCAGTCATACCCTAACAATATTTACATTTTGAACAATATTTCTCAAGATATTTACTGAGTAAACTTCAGTATTTTTTGTTTATATGGTATTCAAATTCAGTTGAGATTGATAGATGTTTATCATTGTAATGTAGCAAATGCATGAACATTTTCTGTTTCTCGTCTTTGTAAATACTTACCTGAATGGTACTTACTAATTGGTGTTATTGCTACCTTATAGTAATAAGGTTAATCAAAGATGTTAATGCAGGGCTCCAGATAAGGGCCGTATCGGCGTATGTACGGATAAAAAATATGCACGATACGGAAGGAAATAATTGAGAAAACGTAGCAGATACGCACCACGACAATGGTATATGGGCTTAGAATCATTTACAGACGTATTTATCTGAAAAAATATTGTTTTATTGTTTTTTTTACCTGTTTACACAAGACAAGCAATGTTGTGGTGCATACATGAAACGAAACATAAGACTACTGATACTCCATTAAATTCCATTCAGTACTCTAAATGTACTCCTGTATTGAAAAAATCAGGAGTATGTACTCCTTATGTTGAAAAATTATCTGGAGCTCTGTGATGACCTCGCCTTCAATCAGTTACAGCTAGCTGCACACATGTGCCACACAGGGACATAAGAAACACTTGCATGCCACACAGGGAATCTTGACCCAGATCAATTAATTTGCCAAGTGCCACAGAGCGCATAAACCCTGTTGTAGGTTTGTGTCAGAATTCACATCAATTCATATTTGGCAAATATAAAAGATGCATGACATGTTTGTTTTCTACTGTTCCTTCACATGAAATCACTGAAGGATACAATGTAGCTTTTGACTGGACATAACACATGAATAATATTATGTATTATATAGTTGAGGGTGGCTGGGGTTTTTTTTGTGCTTAAATATAATTTTGGGAGTGAAGTCATTCAGCTATCTTGAAATTCATTTATCTATACAATATTGAAGAAAATGAAAGCGTATCTAATAGCAATTCAGCTGTATGTACGAAAAGTACTTCTGTTGTTAAACATGACCAAAAGCATACAGTAGACAGACAATATACATATTGAATAATTCACGTTCTAATGACATGTGATAAGTAATCCTACCAGGTGTTTGGACCTGGGTTTACGTCACACATAGCTAGTGGGTGAGAGTATTATTTTACGCAGCTTTTAACAATATTCCAACTATCACGGCGAGGGACACCAGAAATGGGCTTCAAACATTGTGCCTATATGGGGAATCGAACCCGGATCTTCAGACACTTTAACCACCAGGCTACCCCACCACTCCCTTGATATTGTGCCAAGAATCTACAAGCTCATCAATTATGCCTATCAGCTCCTCTGCAGAGAAAATAGTAAATTAGGTGCAAAATCACCATTCAAAATTGGAAATTGTTTGTTCTTCTAAGGATATTGTAGTCTATGTAGAGTGACCACCGACCTTTTTCAGCAGTCCAGTGTCCAATATACATCTTAGTTAATTGCCCGAGCTAGACAATAACAAGAGAGCTTGAGTGGGCTAGGCTATGGTGTTAGATAAAGCGCAGGGCGAGAATTATGCGAATTAACCAAGCAGTGATCATGTTGTGTAAAGGGCTATGACGAATATTGTAATGTAATAAGGTAAGCTGTGTATCATATGACAAAATATGATGACTAAAACTATTAATAAGAAAAGCAATTAATTATGAATTATACCGAGCATGTGATTGCAACAACCATACAAAATCTGTATTTGCCAAATGCTTGCTATTAAGACAGTGCCTGCAGGTGGCCCGCAGGCTGACATTTGAATCCTGGCTACGTATTTCTCTTTACGATCATAAATGGGTCACATACGGAATGAGCCACGATTTACTGTGCAGAGTTACATCACTTACTCATGCCGGGATTTTGATTCTCAGATTCACTGTCTAAGAGTTGTCAACACATATTGTCCATGCTTTTGTTTCCCCAAAGACTTTCTTTCCACATTTAAGCTGACTCTCTGACTTGGTTGACACATGTCATCGGTTCCCAATTGAGCAGATTGATGGTCATGCTGTTGATCACTGGATTGTCTGGTCCACACTCAATTATTTACAGACCGATGCCATATAGCTGGAATATTGCTGAGTGCAGCGTAAAACTAAACTCACTCACTCACTCATAAATTGCCAAAAGCTAAACACTTTCAGTATTTAAAAGGAATATTACTTTGACTGGTCATTTTTATTTATTTTGCCCTCCTGCCTTTAGGTTTTCTGAGGACAAAAATCCTTAAAACAAGAATTATAATTGGTCTGGCCTAAGCAAAGATTCAACCCTGAAAATAATCCATACAATGAGTGAGTGAGTGGCTGACTGTGGTTTTACACTGCTTTTAGCAATATTCTAGGCAGGGGACACCAGAAATGGGCTTCACACATCGTACCCATGTGGGAATCGAACGCTGGTCTGCGGTGTGACAAGTGAACGCTTTAACCACTAGGCTACCCCACTGCCCCTCCATACCATGCGACATGTTTACTATCTACATTGTGCAGACCAGTCTAAGTAAACTTAGGCTCAGTATTATTCGTTACACTGCTATACTGAGTCCAACAAACCCTAGTAGAAGGTCGTGTCAGCTAACATTTGAGCAACCTATGACCGTCCAATCAAACACGAGATGGCAGAACGGATTTAGCCAATCAGACAACGACTACTTGTTAGGGTGTGGCAGGACTTACAAAACGGTTTTTGGATTTTCTCTTCCCTGGTCGCTGACACTGATCTATCAACAAACGAAAATCCACAGTAAGCACAGATATTTGACCTGGCTACTATTAGCTTATATTCCCGCAAGATGACATCCTTGAATATTGACAAAAACGTTATTTTCAGCGACTGTTTACTCATTGCATCCTCCATGAGTATCACTCGGAAGCGATCGTGCGAAAATAGCATTCGGAATCGTTCAAGTTTTTTAGGTAAAGTTTCAAACGGTATACACATGTGCGAATGTTAACTTTCGCAATTTGGTAAGCTGTGTTCTGATTGGTCAGTCCAAAAGGTCAGCTGATGCGACCTTCTACTACTACTAGGGTTTGTTAAACTCAGTATAGCAGTGTAACAAATAATACTGAGCCTAAGTTTACTTTTTTAGACACTTGTACAGACATACCTTGAGCTGTCCATTTTCAAGTCATCAGGACAGTCTGCCTGATCAGTTAAAGTGTTTGATGGTCCAAGCCATAACATGGTGCTCCCAGGCTGGCTTCTAGACAAGCTTAGTTTCTGAAATGAACATGTTTTACAGGGGAGGAAAACAGTTCTAAAACTGTCTAGATAAAATTAAATAAATAGAAGCGCTAACAGGATCGGGTGGTCAAGCTCGCTGACTTGGTTAACACATGTCATCACATCCCAATTGCGTAGAACGATGCTCAGGATGTTGATCACTGGATTGTCTGGTCAAATGTTGTTGAGTACGGCGTAAACCTAAACTCACTCACTTGCACATGTATTTTCTGCCATTTGTGTCTGTGATTTATTTATTTAGGACTGATGGTCATAAATTTGTATGGATGTACCATCAATCCTTTAAATTTAGTGATACATCAATATCATAATATACAGAAACATTCACACCTATAATACATGTGGATTTCAATGTAAGATGGAAAAATACCCCCAAAGTTAGGAAATCTTGTGTTTTCTTCATGTTATTTGCTCGTTGTTTAGGTGGTTCATGATTTATCGTACTCACGCCATACTGATACAGCGTTTGTTGTTTCAGGGAAGCGACTGCAGGAGGTGGGGTGTTTCTACCTGACTCTTATACTGATGGCCTTCAATGGTATACAGTTGTTACGTTACTTTCAAATTGAAAACTGGTACTACATACTACCTGCAGCACGTAAGTATAAACTTGATGTTCTGTTAGTATTTAGCTTTGTCAGTGTTGCTGAGTGGATTTTGTGCCACCTGTAGAATTTTTCTAGAAATATAATCATAGGGGAAAATAAAAATGCATGTTTCCATGGTTACTGTGCAGATGTGGGCCCAGGTTTTTGGCTTGATTACCCAATGCATAATATGACTATCAAACATGTAATTTGAGATTGTGAGAACTGCGAGAATGGGTCCATGGGTTAGTATATGGTAGATTTACTAGAGCTAGAAACATAGAGGATGGTTTCCCTGGTGCATGCCAGAGAATACAAAAGGGTTTCCTTGTGTCATTAAAATGAACATTGATTTGACTTGTGTAATGCCTATGTGCTGCCATGCTAACATAAGATTGAGAAAAACTATTGATGGTGAAAGGCCAGAGGATGGCATGTTATATTGTGATAATGATTGTGGTTTTATTTGTTTCTAGTTCTAGGAATTTTATCAGCAGACTTTTTCAGTGGTCTGGTACATTGGGCCGCCGATTCCTGGGGCTCAGTGGAACTGCCGATTATTGGCAAGGTAAGACAAACTCCTTCCTGTGTAGTGGGATATATAACAGTAACACAAGAAGTATATGCAGTTTTATTGGTCCTGTGTTTGGATTATCAAGAGAATTAAGCGAGTCTTACTTTAAACACATGGATGGACGCATTAGACCACATATACATCATGTGATACTGCTGCAACAAATTTATGTTGCGGCCATGTTTAAATCTGCAATTTTAAAGAATTAAAACCAATTGATAGAAAACTGATGATTGACTGAGCTGGAGTTTACTTGTGCTCCCAGATGTCAGGTGACTTACACCTCTGACGATTACGGCACCTCTGCCTCCTCCAGCATCGGTGCCTATCCTGTCTACTATGTCAGCCCCTGTGCCTACGCCAACGTCTCCCGTTACTTCCACATCTTCGGCAGTCGACCATAGGTCGAGACCTCCGAGCAAGGCGTCTTTTTCTAAGGCGTCGTCTGCACGTAGCCGTTCCCCCTTGCTGTTTCGTTCACCGTCCTCAGAGAGAGACTTTGCCCCAGACTACGAGGAAGACATGAGCTCTAATCACCTTGGTTTTGATCACGTGTTTGACTGGATTGCTGATCGTTTAGTAGCCTCAGTCCCTTCACCAGGACCTGATGTTGTTGCAAAGTCGCTTACTATTTGGGACTCGCCTTCCTTAATGTAGCCAACACATGAGGCGGCCAACATGAAGTAGGTCAGGGAGATTCTATCTACACTTGATGAAGATTTCGCGGGGATGTCTCTCAACCCAACTATTAAAGCGCCTAGAGTCCGGCGTGATGACTATCCTATTCATGGCTTGGACTTTGCCCAGACAGTGACTAAGGTGGATGAGGAGATAAAACGTGTGACAGGCTCTTCTTCTGTCTCCTCCTATAAAGTTCAGGACAGAAGGGTAGCTGCTTTGGACTTAGAACTTAATCGTATGCTCCGCCCTATATCGGCATTGGCGTCAGCGACTGATGCCATTCACAGGATCTTAAGGAAGTAAATCCTGATCGACTGGATCATCTCACAACTATGATGCTATGGCAGGGCAAAGTGCTCACTGACCTGCGTGAGCACCTTCAGTCAGCGCTTGCCAACGCATGCGTAATTCGTCGGCAAAGCTTCCTCTCCTTTTCTTCATGGGATTCGGAGTTTCAACGGAAATTATTCCACCAACCCTGGTCATCGTCGACACTGTTTAACAACGCCATTCATGACATTTATCGGGAGGAGTGTGAATTTGCCAAAGGGGAGACTGCCTTGAAAGCTTTTCAAAAGGGACAACTTCCTTCCTCCATGCCATCCAACACCTACCAGCCTCGGCAACCGTCTGTTCGGCGTGCCAGAAACACAGCGCCGTCTCGTGGCAGGGGACGTTGTGCCAAGCCTAGATCAGACAGGGGAGGATATCAACGTCGCCGTGCTCCCGCCCAGGGCGATGCATACCTCCATGTTCCAATACGCCCCAGCGACAGGAAGTACCTGCGCTTTATTTTCAACAATCAACATTTCCAATGGGCTGTCCTCCCATTTGGAATTTCAACGGCCCCGTGGTTGTTCACGCGTATCACAACTCCTATTTCCGGTATCTTCATTTGAGGGGCATCAATTTCGACCTGTACCTGGACGATTGCCTTATGCACCTGTTAGACCGTCTGCTTCTTATACAACAACGGGATTTCACCCTTCGTCTGTTGCGCCAACTAGGTTGGCTGGTCAACTTGGACAAATCGGAGCTTGTCCCATCTCACTCTCTGACATTCATCGGAGGCCATTTCCAGACGGACAAGAACCTAGTTCAGATTCCTCTGGACAGGTGGGACAAGGTTCAGTCTCTAATTCCATGTGCGCTCTCCGAACCTCTGTCTCTCCAAAAGTGGCAGGCACTCCTGGGATTGTTGACGTCGGCGCAGGATCTTACCAGCAGAGGGCGTCTTCAACTTCGTCCTCTGCAGCACTTTCTTCAACCATACATTTGTCGGGCAGACATTCATCAACGGTTTTGTCTTCCACCTCAGTTACATCACTATCTTCTTTGGTGGACTCACCCATTGAACGTCTTAGAAGGAGTCTCTTTGACAGAGCGGCCTCCGGATTACCAACATTTCGTGGGACGAAACACCGTGAACACTGCATCCATGCAGGGTTAGACAGAAGCGGCCTCCGGCATTTAACTTACTTACGCGACCAGACAGCCGCCGCCTTTGGTCGGGTCAACACCAAAGCTGGCATATAAACAGTCTGGAGTTGGAGGCCGTGATCCTCGCTATTCATCACTGGGCGCATCGACTACGAGGAACTTGTCTTCTGGTGGCCACAGACAACACCACGGTGGTATGGTACGTCCGGAAGCAAGGGTCGACACACTCACAGTTTCTTCTCGATCAGACTTTTCGGCTCTTTCAACTGGTCGACGATCTCCACATTCTGTTGAGAGTTCGGCATATTCCGGGGTGCCGCAATATACTAGCAGACGCTCTCTGGAGACCCGACAGAGTTGCTCCCACGGAATGGATGCTACACTAGAGGCCTTCACTCTCCTAAGTCACGCACTGGGTTCTCCAAACATAGATCTGTTTGCCACCAGCCAAAACCATCAACTGCCAGTTTATGTGTCCCCAGTCCCAGATCCAGCGGTTTGGGCGGTGGATGCTCTCAGCCTATCGTGGGAGGGGCTTCACGCGTATGCTTTTCCGCCACCAGTTCTACTACCCAAAGTTCTCGCAAAAGTCAAGGAGACAACTTGCCTGCGGCTGATTTTGGTCGCGCCTTGGTGGCCGGCCAGGAACTGGTTTCCCGGTTTAAAAAGTCTAGTAGTAGGAGATCCCTTCCCTCTACCCACGTGGAGGAACGTTCTCGTGCACCCTCACAGCCGTCTCCCGCATCCTGCTCCAGATCGGTTGAATCTGCACGCATGGACCATTTGCAGAAAGCACTGAGTGCTAAGGGGTTTTCGGCCAGAGCAACCAAAGCCATTGCGACGGCGCACAGAACTTCTACTGGACACTTGTATGACGACAAGTGGCAGTCATTTGAACGATTTTGTGTTACCAGGAAGCAGGATCCGCTGAAAGTGTCTCCTCAGTTCATAGCAGACTTCCTACTTTATCTCCGAACGTCCAGGCGTCTGAAGGGAGGCACCATTGCCACGTATTTGGCGGCAATTAGCTCAGTTTTAGTGGTTCCCACTGACAGAAGGATTTCCAAAATCCCAGAATGACAGGCCATGCTTCGTTCGTTCAGACTTGAAGACCAGAAGTTGAGTTTCGTCCGCCGGCATGGAATCTCAACACTGTTTTAGACCATCTCCGTGGTGCACCTTATGAACCTCTTGAGAATGCTTCCCTCGCTGATTTATCCAGGAAGACGGCTAAGCTTTTGTCTTTAGCGACTGCGGCTAGAGTGAGTGAGGTTCACGCCCTTGACGTGACTAGGGTCAAGTTTGAACGTCTTCGTCATGGTTCTGTGCATTTGGGTCTGTGTTGGGATTTCATCGCTAAAAACCAACTACCAATTCAACGTGATTGACAGTTTTTCCATTCCGCCATTATCATCTATTGTTGGCACTGAAGACGATGCTGAATTGCTTTTAAGCCCGATTCGTGCGCTCAAAACTTACATTGATCGCACCAAAGGCGTCCGTGGTACAAGGAAACGGTTATTCTTCCCCTATCCCGGGCGTCACAGTCATCTGTCAGCAAAAACAATTGCCTTATGGTTAAGAACGACCATTCTTTAGGCATATAAAGCGGCTGGGCTGGACCCTCCTACGTCCTCTCATATACACGAGATTCGAGCACTTGCTTCGACTATGGCACTTCACAGTATTTGTATTGTGTCATCCATTATGCAAGGTTGTTTTTGGCGGTCGGACACAGTTTTTGCCAGTCATTATTTGCGTGACATGGCTGTCAAGGACGTTAACGATGTCCACAGCTCCGGACCATTGGTGGTTGCTCAGCAACTCGCCATCCCCTGAAGAAAGTGACCCTCCTGCCTTGTGTGTTCTTCCCACGGACCACCATGTGGGGAATGAGTTGTTTTCTTCAGAAACAACTAGGTATGTCAGTTAAGGATTTATCCTTGTATTTCAAGTCCATGCTTTTTACTGCATTCCTTAAGCTTCGCCAGATTTAAAATTAGTGGTTTCTTTTCATTTAAGACTCGGTCTTATTTGCGAATTACCACTACCTGATCGTCACTCGCTGATTCGCTGTCTGTTATAGGCGCATTACCAACGCTTCCCAGTTCTACGTATTTTAACATTGTCTGGCAAGCCATGCCTTTCGAGCCGTAAGCAAATAGTGCAGGAAGTAAGTAGTGCAGGATAAGTATACAAATATAAAAAATATTTAGATTTTACTAATTTGGATTGAAAACAAGCCAGTCCATTGAAATTGAAAGGAGATTTAGCATGTTTAGTGAGATGAAAGCCGGTGGAAAATCTGGACTTGATCTTACTTCAAATAATGCAGTAGCATTTCAGTAGGTGTTGCTGTAAGGGTAAACAATATGGTTCAGGATCTGTGAGACTGGTGTAGGACTGTAATCTGACTGGATTTGTTCCTTGCTCGATCATCATCAGTATTTTGCGGGTTTGTTTACACTAACTTTTCCAGTACCAGTGAATATGTATGAATGCTATGCAGCGTAGGTCTTGTTAACTAAGGAATCAAGCCTCCCCTTAGTCATGGGCATCTTCTTTACATACTGCTTCGATGTTGGCACTAGGTCTGCAACGATTCACCCAGACCTCGATTCTATTCGATTTTCGATAATGGACCCTCTGTTCAATCATTTTATATTCGATTTTTTATACAAGTAAAAACATTGATTTCATTTTACTCTCAGAGTCGGCTTTTTCAGCGTGAAAACCATCGTCAACTTGGCGATGTCTACTAACAACAATTTTCATTGCATAATTAGCCTGGCGTCAACCAATCATGTTTCGCCATATTTCAATGCTCGAAACTGGAGTCAAAGTTAGGTTCTGGGTGTGTCGAAATTTTTAAA